CGCACTCACCAGTTTGTATCTCACATGGTTTCCGTGAAGCAAGGGGCCGTCAGGTTCTTTCCCACCATAATCCACCCAGTACCCAACATCTCCAGGGCGATCTATAGGTAGATGGCAAATGAAAGAAGTTAAAACACTCCGCGTGCTGCTCTAATTTCTTTTTCTGCAAAGAACAGAACAAAGCAGTAGAAAGTAAAAGTTCAAAAAAAATAACAGGTGGTTAAAGGATATAGATGTGGCAGAACCCAATGGGAAGTCAGATCGACTCCTTTTTCTCTTTGTGTTATGTAAGCTCTTACACCCAACAGTGGGCTTGGACTTCCAATCCCAAGGGCAAGACCCACGTGTCCTGCTGGGTGAGTGAGCCAGCCAGGTGCCCCAGACTGACTCACTTTTCAAATATAATTAATTCCAAGCAGTTGACTGGGAAAGGAAAAAAGGGGGAAGAGAGGGGAAGGAGGACTGAGGGAGGGAAGGAGCCATAATCAGAATTCTCATTTTGATAAGCCTAAACCGCCCTGTAATTCCAATCATACGAAAGGCAAAGAATGTAAGAATATCACTGATCAAAAAAGGGGGGGGGGATCCCTGGGTGGCTCAGCGGTTTAGCGCCTGCCCTCGGCTCAGGGCGTGACCCCTGGGGTCCCAGGAGCGAGTCCCACTTCGGGCTCCCTACATGGAGCCTGCTTCTCCCTCTGCCTGTGTCTCTGCCTCTCTGCACCTCTCATGAATAAATGAATAAAATCTTTTTTAAAAAAATTTTTTTTCAAAAAATTCCAGTTGATCAACAGCCTGTACCAGCCAAGGACCCAGGTAGCCACCAGGCCGTACTGCGCATACAGCTCCCCTCCAGGGCCAAGGGCCTGGGGTCACGGAGCCTGTGTGCAGCCAGCCCACTACCCTCAATTTAAAATTTGTTGAAACAGGTGCCATGTGATTTCACGTGTATGTGGAATCTAAAAAAAAAAAAAAAAAAAAAAACAAAGCAAAAAGAGACCCATAAACACAGAGAACTGGTGGCCGCAGGAGGCAGGGGAGGTGGCTTGTGCAAAACAGGCGAAGGGGAGACATGGGCTTCCAGGTAGGGGATGAACAGGTCTGGGGACAAACAGGTCTGGGGACAAAGAGCCCGCAGGGGGTGCAGTGTGTGGTATTCTAACTGCCTGCGGCCCAGGCCATGACCCCGGGTCCCGGGATTGAGTCCCACATCGGGCTCCCCGCAGGGAGCCTGCCTCTCCCTCTGCCTATGTCTCTGCCTCTCTCTCTGTGTCTCATAATGATCTTAAAAAAAATAAATAACCGTGTTCTGTGGGGACACACGGTAGCTGCACCCGGGGGGGACACTGCAGGTGTGACTTGTGGGCTCACTGTGCTGTGCACCTGAAACTAACCTAACCTTGTGTCAACTGCAGTAAGAAAGGGGGGTTTTATAAAAAGCATCCAGAGGGATGTCCGTGCCCACGGATGTGTCCCTCCAGCCTCTGGATCCCTCGGAAGGCCCGTGGTCAGTGTACGAACAGTTTGGGGCACTGGTGAGGGCGGCAGATCCTCAGAACCCCGTGCTGGGGACACAGATCCAGCACTGAGGGAGACGCAGAACAATCGACTAACAGCAGCGCCTCTGGGAGGTGTGGGGACGGTCCATGAAGGGCACGGGAAGCTCATTTTGCCCTGAAAGCCCTTCCTACAGGTCCCAGGCCACCCTTCCCAAGCGCCAGCTTCCTCCGAGTGCATGTCCCTCCGAGACCGACTGTGCCTCCGCTGCCTTAGGTACAAACGAACTAACCTGCACCAGTGAGCTGGGGGTGGTGGGCACAGGGCCCCCCAGGAGCAGAAACGGTGTTCCTGGCCGCACCACACCCCTCCAGGTCATCGTCCTTGGCGCTCACGCCCCTCCCGGCACAAACTCCATCTGCAGGAAGGCAACGGCAGGTGGACTCCTCTGAAGGCCCACACCTGGGCGGCCCGGTCACCAGGTGTTCTCCAGCGTCTTTCACGGAGGAGGCGTCAGATGCTACCCCGACTGCACCTGAAAATCACCAACTCTGACCATTTTCCTTGAGAGATGACACGTGCAAGACAAGACTTGAGGCATCTGCCCTTCTGAAAAGGATCTGAAGACCCACTGGGCTCAGTGCAAACCACTTGAGTTCTAAGATGTTGCCTTGTGATCAGCAGCAGCAGTAATTCAAGAATGCAAGTTTGTACCTCCAGGGTTCCTAAAATTTAAGTAAATCTTCTTGCACCTGAAAACCAGAAAGCCCTCGGGGTGCCCAGGTGGCTCGGTCAGTTAAGCTTCCAACTCTTGGTTTCAGCTCAGGTCATGGGGGGGGGCGGCGGGCGGGGCGGGACTGACCCCTGCATCAGGCTCTGTGCTCAGCGGGGAGTCCACTGCTTGACATTCTCTGTCTCTCTCTAAAGGCGCGGGTGTGAGAGAAGAAAATCAGAGAGCAGGAGAGCAAAGTGGAGCTGGGGCTCCACTTCAGAGAAGGAACTACACAGGATTTCATTAATCCCTCCTGCTAATAAAGGCTGCCAGAAACAAGGGGGGCCCCCAGACACCCGCTACCGAAGACCCAGATGCATTAAAAAACTAAGACTCACGTAGAAAGATGTAAAGGAACTACTCTGGTTGCAGTAACGCCCTTCCAAAAGCAAAGCCAAAAACCCCAACTTCCTTTGAAGTATACAAAGAGCCCCAGCGCTCTGCTGTTTGTGTATAAACATTTAAAAATTCCAATATTCACATTTCCAAGAGGGGAAGGAGAGAGGCGCTTCTGGGTCCAGCTGCTGCCAAGTCCTACGTGAGCCTCACATGAGTCACAAGTGTCCTTGGAGACTGCTATTTGAGATCAAAAGGGTCTGTCCTCCACCCTGCCACCCTCACCTTGCAGAACTCCAGGGCAAGGGCTGCCCCAAACCAAAATGAAACCAAAAGGCACCAACCAAAAAACGCAAGCAAAACCAAAACAACCCTACCGATGACGCTTCACCTGGAAGTGATTTAATGCAGCCCACTCCTGTCCCCGTCCCCAACCCCGCTCCTAATCTGTGCACAAGGCTGCTCTTCTGCACACCCAGTTAGGCATGTGGTCAGTCACACCAGACAAGTGTGCACTTTGAGGACCCTGAGTACTTGGTTTCCTGTGCTCCTCTGGAGAGGCTCGTCCTGCACCGGGGAGTGGAGCTCCCGCCTCCGCTGTGGGAACCCTGTGCCGTGGGAACCCTGCACCCCGCCAGCCAGGCTTCTAGTGCTTCGGGGTACGGAGTGCACCGGGGGGGGGGGAGGCCCACACTGGCCTGGCTCCCTGCCCCGTCGGCCCGTCCCACACAACAGAACCTGTGGAATGAAAACACACATGGATGGTTCAATACCGTGTGACCTGTAATCCCTTGGACAGGATGCTAAATGCACAACCACGAGGGAGGACGGTTGTCCTTTCATGTCCCCAAATCCCCACTGCACCAACCAAGAGGCTGGCTTCCAGATGAACTGCTTGTTTGGGCTTTTAATTGGCAGGTGAACTGGAAAACTGGATCAGACCGCCAGGATGGGGGAGCAGCGGGGCAGGACCAGGCAGGTAGCCGGGCACAAGTGGCCAGGCACAGGCTGTGGGACCTCACTTCCTCATCTGTGAAGTGGGGGTGCTGACCACACCTACCTCACGGGGGAGAAAATTAATGAATACGTGTTATTAAGATTCTTAGACTAATGCCCGGCACACCATCAACACTTGGTTTGAATTCGTGCCACAGTAAAGGGACCTTCCCCTTCCCTTCACACGCACGCACAGGATTGCCATTCACAAGGATTCTGCAAAACAAGGAAATTTAAACAAGTTACCAACTGGTGACAAATTCCGGCAAAAAGCCTAGAGCAAGAAGTTAACCAAACTCCTTTAAAAGATAAAAATTCCTAAAAACCAAACAAACAAAAAAACCCACCCTGTCCTTGGGTAGTAACCCAGGCCCAACTCCCAAACTAGGTTCCCTTGGCTAATTCACCAGAGACCTATACCAAGCCGTCCTTGCTAGCCTGATATTTCCACTTCTAAAACAGCTTTGGAGGACGCCCCGGTGGCTCAGCGGTGTAGCACCTGCCTTCGGCCCAAGGTGTGATCCTGGGGTCCCGGGATCGAGTCCCGCATCGGGCTCCCTGCGTGGAGCCTGCTTCTCCCTCTGCCTGTGTCTCTGCCTCTCTCTGTGTCTCTCAAGAATAAATAAAATCTTTTAAAAGATAAATTTAAAAATAAAATAAATAAAACAGCTTTGGGGGGCACACCTGGGTGGCACAGTCACTTAAGCATCTGCCTTCAGCTCTGGTGGTGATCCCAGGGTCCTGGGATCGAGCCCTGAATCGGGCTCCCCACTGGGGGTCGGGGTCTGCTTCTCCCTCCCCCTCTGCTCATGCTCTGGCTCGCTCTCAAATAAATAATAAATAAAAATCTTTATAAATACATCAATAAAGCAGCTACGGACCCGAAATGCTTTCCCCCTGCCCAGGGCCGCAGCCTTGCTCCTGCCCCCCACGCCCCGCCTCCGGGGCCGTGCAGCCGGACACACGCCGGCCTGGAGCTGGTGCCCAGGTCACCCCCCCATGTCAGCACCTTGCTGACCACCACATGCCGCCCCTGCCACCACCAGGGACACTCACGCGGACACACACAGGGTGAACCCAGGTGGCTGTGCATCAAGGACGGGAGGCCTGAAGGCGGGAATGGAGGGCGCAGGGCGAGGCCTTCTCAGGAACCCGCAGGTGCCCTCCCGCCACCGATTCTTGGTTCACCCCAACAGACAGAGACCTCACAAGGCAACTGTTCAGGCCGCGTCTGGGGGCAGAGCCGCCGCCAGGGATCCCCCTGAGGGGTAAGAAAACAGGAGAGGCAGCACCTGGAGGACGCGCGGGCCCCCAAGCCCAGGACACCCTCCTGCAGCTCGTCCCACTCCCGTGGCCTCCGTTTACCCGGCACGTTATTATCGTAAATAAAAACACACAAACATCAACGAACAACTTCGACTTTTAATAAATGGAAACAATTTGCCATTCCAGGAACAACTGTAGGGAAGAAAACTCTTCCCTATAAAAATAAACTCATCAAAATTATAAATATACTTTTTTTTTTTTTTTTTTTTTTTTACTTCTGCGATTTAGATTGCTCCCCTGCAATACTACCCCCCCTTCACTTAGACAACATTCCGGTACCATCACTTATTGAAGAGAAAACAGTATTACAGCAAAGCTTAGTTTAATTTAACATAACAATTTGTACAATGATTTTTTTTTTTTTAAATCTCTGGCCATCATGGCCTTTCTTCTTTTATGCATGAAAAATGCTGCTGCAGGAACCAGTGTTTGGCAGAGAACATCAGTATCGAACTATGCACTGACAGACTTTTCAATACGGCAAGTTCTCCAAACTGCAACTTGTAGTGCACACGGCAACAAGCGAGGTTCTGGATACTACGGAGGAGGATGCCTATTTTAGACAATCTATTTCAAGTAAAAAAAAAAAAAATTCACAGATAACCATCAGCTACTACTTTAGGTTCTAACAGTGTCTTAATCTGAGAAACAAATGCTTCACAAAATATAAGCTTACTGGGTGGGCAACCGAAAGACCAGCTGGCTGATAACAGTATACGCAAACCCAAGCCACAGTCTGAACAGTAAAACCAGTATAAAAATCATGAAGGCGTTCCCTGAACAATAACGGTAAAGTGTCGGATGACGATGTCACTAAAACCTCATCGATGCACTAAAAAGAAGTTCCATGCAAAATTAAACAAGATGTGCCATACATATTTTATAGCTAGTTCTACTTTATTTTTTTTTTCCAACTCTCCTTAAAATGCTTAGGAAGATATGATTGTCTCAGTAACTCATGTGGCGCCGCAGAACCATGGCTTACACCTGCCTCCACCGGGACGGGCGGTCTCTGAAAAGTCAGAAGCGCCACCAAGAGGGGAACAGAAATGCAATAAAAGGCACAGTTCACTTAAGAGGCAAAGAAATGAAGCACCTTGGAATTTCAAAAAGAATCCATTAGGTGTCACCAGAGTGTTGACAATTCCTTGGGAATTTATAAAACAAAATATATCTAGACTGAAAAGTAGATTATAAGGCCCCTTTAGAACCACAGCACATCTTTCCTGTTGTCTTCAGATTGCTGCAAAGAAAATGAGGTTATTTACTGTGCTTTAAAGGAAGGCTTCTATTGCACACGCCTTTCTTTGGTGGGTAGGAACATGCATTTTTGTTAAAGCATTTCCACAAAGAACCCCTCTTGTGTGCTCGGCTTTTGGGGGCGGGGGAGTCCGGCTTTTGGGGGCGGGGGAGTCCTCCGTCCCTGGCCGCCACCCTCCTTACAGACCAGGACTCCTGGCAGGAGGATCTAAAGGCCCTGAGTCTGTAACTACATCCTCAGGTAAGCAAAGGGCAGTCGCTGAGGAAGGGGAGGGGGAAAGAGGTGGGAGTGGAGCAGGAAGAGGGGAAAGTGCGAGGAAGAAGGGAAAACAGGGAAAGGAAGGGAGTGACTGTCACACATGGATGCTGTGAGCTCTCTACCTCCATCTCCCAGCTAGCAAGAAAACCGCCACCACCCCTGCCCCCGGACCCAGAATCCTCTTCAACTCAGAAAACAGCTGGGGGGGGGGGTGTGTGTCACAGGACAGAAGTTAGCAGGTGATCACTGCACACCCCCCCCCCCGTCCCTCAGGGGGCGGCCCGGCTGCAAGGCTCCCCCTCCATCTGGGCCCACGAGCTCCACCTGCCAGAAGGTTCGAGTCTCCGGTCAGCTGCAGACTTCCCGTTCCTCCTCTGGGTCCAGCTCCTACTTTCTTTGGCTCTGCTTCCACATTTCACTTACCAGCAAATCCAGCTATACTACAGCGAGCTTAACCTCAAAACCGTAAGCCTTCACGCCACCTACGCGCACCTGCCCTGCGCACCTGCCCTGCCGAGGCCGCCGCCTCCACACTTGCTCGGCACATTCTCGGTCGAGCTCCTAGTCTCCCTTCACAACCTCCTCAGGGTCCCTGGTCCTGGCCTCTCCACTCCCACGGATCGCATCCCCTGACATTTAAAAACAAGAAGAAAAACGTCACCCGGACAGGTAGCTTCAAGATGGGACAAGTATTCAGATAGATTCCTTGTGAAGCCTGGAAAAAAATCACCTGCCATGTCCTGAACCTGCTTAACGTCCTCATCACAGAATTAACTAAAACAGAGTAAGGAAATAAAACCCAAAAACAAAAACCCCAGAGTCCCTGCTTCCAAGCAGCCTGGGCAGCTCCGGGCCACACGAGCAGATTCACAGCTTGCCGGGGGGTCGGCACCGCAGAACCGCGGAGAAGCTGCCCGGCAGCTGCCCAGGCGACAGCCAAGACGACAGCCCCGATGACAGCCCCGCAGCGGCTGCTTCGGGCACAGGTCCCGCGTCCTAGTCCGGCTTCCACACCTCGCCCAGGGCTTCCTCCAGCTTGTGTCTGTAGGCCGCGTAGCGCCGCCGCACACTCTGCAGCTGCTCGGCTTCCTCCTTGTCCAGGATGCGCAAGAAATTCTGCAGCTCCGGGAGGCTGAAGGCTTCCCACTGCGGGGACACAAGGTGGGGACGGAGGGGGTGGCCTGAGCACGTGGGGGGGCGGCCACCCCTCCCGCTCCGGCCGTGCCCCAGGGAGGGCACCCAGGCCCAGCCCCCAGGAAGGGCACCCAGGATGGCCCCCGGGGAGAGCATGTAGGCCCAGCCCCAGCCCCCAGGAGGGCACCCACACAGCCCCGGCCCCCAGGAGGGCACCCACCCAGCCCCAGCCCCCAAGAGGGCACCCAGGCCAACTCAGGCCACCCACAGCTCTCCACACCAGCTCTCACTGGGGCCGAGGACAGGCCTCGGGGGCCCCAGGTACACTAGACACTTTGGCCGCTGACCTGGTCCCCCTCCACCTGAGCCCAGAAGCAACAGGAGCCACTCCCCACCACCCTCTCCCTGCAGCCCCCACAGTCACTGCTGCCTCCCCACCCCCCCCATCTCACCAGCTCCTAAGTGGCTCTCCAACTGGCCTGCTTTTCTCTGCTACCTCTGCTGCCCCCTCGATCACCGCCCTCTTCTCCAGGCCCCGGAAGAACCCGCCCCATGACCCCGACTCCACTCTTCCATTCCCCAATCTGTTCCTCCAACAGCCAGCCGGACTACTCTCTGGAACACGCAAATCTAGGCATGCCCAGCCACTGCTACAGTTGTTTGATGGCTTCCCCTGGTTGTTCTTGCTAAGTCTGCAAGACCCTAACCCCTCCGCTCCCCTCTCTCTCACGCTGTCCTACTCACATGTCCTTCAGTAGCTCTGCCCACGCTCTCCACGCTGCCTGGTGAACTCCTACTCAATCTTCACGTCTCAGCTTAGATGCCACTTCCTCAAAGAAGTCTTCCATGATTTCCTTCCCCCCTCCCTTCCCACCCAGGACGTGGTCTACTAGAAGCCTGCACTGAGCAATGACGGCCCTGATCACAAGAGATTTAAAAATTATGACAATTATTTGCTTAGTATCTCCCTCACCTACACTTTACCCACACTGCAGCTGTGGTGCCTCTCACTATCCGGGCTGAGCCTCTTGCCCGAGTCTCTCACTTGTTTCCCCAATAGCACCGGGTACCCAGAAGGCACAAAATAAACACTGTGGAGTTTAAAAATTTTCTTGATTGGGATCCCTGGGTGGCTCAGTGGTTTAGCGCCTGCCTTTGGCCCAGGGTGCAATCCTGGAGTCCCAGGACGGAGTCCCACGTCAGGCTCCCTGCATGGAGCCTGCTGCTCCCTCTGCCTGTGTCTCTGCCTCTCTCTCTCAATCATAAATAAATCAATAAAAATAAAAAATAAAAATTAAATAAAAATTTTCTTGATTGATAGTGAAGGTCAAGAAAAGTGCTTGCCATTACTAGGGAAGATTTTGGTTTTTTGTTTGTTTTCCAAACACCACATCCTCCCTGGGACCTCCGCTGAGAATCACTGCCTTAACCAGGAACAATTTTCCTCTCTCTCCTTTTTTAAGATTTATTTATTTATTTGAGAGAGAGATTGAGTGAGTATACGCACATGAACAGGGGGAGGGGCAGGGGGCAAGAATCCCAAGCCGACTACCGCTGAGCAGAGAGCACAGACCCCATCCCATGCTAGGCTCGATCTCACAACCCCAAAACCATGACCCAAGCTGAAACCAAGGGTTGGATGCTCAACTGACTGAGTCACCCAGGCGCCCCGGGAACAACTTCTGATGGGAACTCCCAAGGGCGTGGGGAGGGAAAAGACAGGAGACAGTCTAATACAAATGGGACAGATGCAATAGAAAGAATGAAACCACCAAGTAGGCACAATGGCAGAAGGCTTCCTGGAGAAGAATTCTGACCTGGTTATCAAAGAAACATGGAGTAGGAGGAGAGAACTTTCTACTTTCTATTAATTAAAGTAGCAGTCTTCCCAAAACTCCCCAAATCAGGTTGCAACTTACAGATCTAGGACCATAATTTACAAGGCATGTTCACATATATTTTTAATTTGTGACTCAAAACCACCTTTTAAAGTCTTTAGTACCACTTCACAGATTTCAAACCTGAGGACTGAAAAGATGAGAAATTCTACCCGAGGTCATGCTCCTCAACTAACAAGAGGAACAGTAAGAAGCAGAGGCCCGGTTTCCTAGCTTTTACCCTGGAAACTATTCTCACTGCATCACACAATGTTGCACACGGACAATTCATACCATTTCCTGTTCAGACAGAAGACAGACACCCAGGGCTTACAAGATTGACTCAAGTGTCGTCTTAAAGCTGGCATTTGATCTAGAGAAGGACTGTACGAAGTGCTTTTCTTCCTCCAACTGAACTGGCCTAAATTCAATCCTCCCTGGAGAGAAAATGGCAAATGATGCACATACAAACGTAATTTATAAATCCCTTTGGCAAAAAAATAAAAATTATGTTGGCAAGAGAAAAAAAAAGATTCTACAAAGTTTTATGTCCTTCGCGGTTAAAAAAAAAAAAAAAAGGCTGCATTTCCTTTTTGTGCCTAGGACATTGTACTTTTTGATTACATTTCCTTTCATTTCCCTTCAAACGAAGGAGCCTGGAGAGGTCTGTTAGCAGCAAACATATGGAGAGTATCAACTTTCGTGGTTTAGCTGGATTAGGCTAATTTGGAGGTAGAAGGAGTAAAAAGGGCTCTTCGGGTGGGAGGAAAGTTTCTTACTCACTCTCTTCCCACTTCTGAGAATTACAAACGAAGACAATAGATACTGTAAAAACGTACAGACCTAGATATCTGTATTTTGTAGATATATTGTAGGCTAACTTTGGGTTCATTTCTGGCAATTCAAAAACACACAGAAAATGGTCCTCTGCAGACCAGCTCTCCCCATCCCAAGAGATACAGACGGCCAGACGTGTGTGCACATTCTCTCTCCTCCTGTTCCCCCTCATCCCCACCCCCCACTGGGAATACAGCAGTAAAACAGAGCCAGCTGCTCTATGTGGTTTAAAGGAAGAACGAACAATCACTTACCTCTCCGATTTCATGTTCACGAAGAACGAAACTCAGTGTGTCTGTCCTGGGCCCAGCTACCAAACGCAGGTAGAGCGGATGTTCCCGGTCTGAGAGCTTGCAGGCATAGACTGCGTAAGGAAGCAAGCAGCCCGTTACACAGCATCGCGCCCTTCCCTGGACCCCACACCCCGCTCTCCATCCCCTCCTCCCGACCCAGGCCACAGCCCACAACACCCAGCCCCCAGGTCGCCGTCCTCCTCATCTTATCCCCTTGAACGGCCGGCAGTGGAATGAAATCTATGCTATTTCCGTTCCAGCTGCACAGTATATGCTGTGCCTTGATTAGAAAGGAAATGATTCTCAGGAGTGAATTCAAACAGATATTAGTTAGTCCCAAGATGGGCTCAGAACGCATTCTGCTGCTCCGTTTAGAAAGCAATACACTTTAACTCAAGCACCTGCAACCCCTTTAAGAAACAGTAATCAATAAATAGATAAATAAATAGATAGATAGATAGATAGATAAATAAATAAATAATAAATAAGACAGTAAAAATATACCGTCCAAAGAACACAAAATCAGAGCAACTCTCTCTGTAGATTAATTTAGAATTATTAGCAGCTGCAAACAAATCAAGCAGTCAGAACACAAGCTCTGATGGCTTTAGGCACAGCTGTGCGTGTCTCCTGTGAGAGAGAGACAGAGACAGACACACACACACACACACACACACACACACACACACACACACACGAGGGACCCAGCACTGCCTGCACTGCTGAAAGAAGCTGCCGCCCAGGAGGGTAGTATTTCCACAGGATGCTCCTGCTGTCCGTCTGAGCAGCTCAAGTCCAGGCGGGCAGGCAGTGCAGCCGGCAGGACGCGATGCCACCCGAGCTCGTGCACGTTAGTCCGGCGCTCCTGGAGGGAAGGGCCTCAGAGCTGCGGGCTTCCCTGCAGGTGTAAATCCCCTCGCTCGGAGCCTGGGCCTGCGGCTCTTTGCGCGCTGCAGGGCCCGGGCCGCGGCTGGGGCGAGGGCATGCTCGGCATCCAGCTGCGCTCGTCCCTGGGCAAACGGAGGACACCTCGAGCATGTCACCCCAGCAGCTCTTCCTCCCGCAACAGCCCAGGTAGCTGACCGCCACACACACGGACACACTCCAAGGAGCCCCTGGTGACCAGCGGACCAGGCCTCCACCGCGGGTGACAGCCACCGCTCAGCGCCTCTTCCAGTGTCAGTTCGCTTAACTGTCTCGGCCTGCCCGCTGAGCACGGGTATGAGGTCAGAGGCCGACGGCAGCCGAGCGTCCTGCATCCCCCGGACGTGCCCCCGGGGAGCCCAATGCCGCTGCCCAGCCAGAGACAACGCAGCTGCCTCTGGGCAGCAAGTCTAAGGCCTGCGGGGACGCGCTTGCGCCTCCCCATCCTGGAGGCCCCTGGGGCAAGGCCCCAAGCCATTCGTGTGCAGACGCGCATCAAGTGTGGAATGCGCTCATGCAACCTCCAAGCACGGAGGCATTCTTTTTTTTGTCCTGAAGGGCATTAAAGTTAAGGCTTAAAAAGACTCTAAGCTATGCCCCCCCACCCCGTGCACACGTCACAAAACCCGTCGCAAATGCCCATCATGTGTGGACGCCTCGGAGCTCCCCGGAGCCACAACTGCCCGGCTCAAGACTATGGAAGGCCGGGAAACACTGCCAGGGTACGCCCCGGTCACCATGGCTTCCCGAATCTGTCCCTGGGCTCTGGGATCCACACACCCAGCCCTGTTCCCTCTGCTGAGGAGGACAAAGACCTGAAAGCAGAGGCCACTTCATCCCAGGCCTGGCGGCGTACCTTGGTCTTCCCGATGACAACGCTTATAAAGTGCAAACTTGGCAGGGCTCTCGGTCACGAGAAACTTCTTGAGCAGGGCCTCGATCACTTCCCCGACGGTGTTCGTGCTGCTGATGTGAAGCGTGTTCATGCAGCCGTTGCTGCTGGGAGCGAGCTTTCCGGAAGTCTGGGGGGGGCTGCAGAGTTCCATCTGGACTTTAATGAAGCCAGTGTAAATCCCATTTGAATTCTGAAGCAGGAAGAAAAAGCGCATGTCGGTTGGGCCGCCCGTGGCCTTCTAGGGAAGGAGCCTAGCAGGACGGAAGACTAGGAGACCCCCTTCCTCTTGATCTGAGCTTCACTAAAGATTGCCCCTAAGGGCAGGATCTGGGAGGCAGGTCAACGCCACCGGCAGTGGGCAGTGCTTCCAGGGACGGACGGGGTCTGCAGGGCAGATGCGGGGACAGACGCCTCCTGGTGCTGCGGGGGCCACAGCAGAGACTGATGCCTCTGCGGCCACCGGTGGAAGGTGGGGGCGGCTGGAGGGGTTCCCATTCCCTGGAGCAGGGGCCTGGAGCAGGGGCCAGCAACTCCCAAGGGGCACTCGTGCGTGGGGGACACGTCGGGGCAAGCTGCTTAGAGCAAACATCTGCAGCTGGGGGCCAGCTATCACCCAGAAAAGGAAGGTCGCGGGGTGCCTGGCTGGCTCGGTCAGCTAAGCACCTGCCTTAGGCTCAGGTCCCGATCCCGGGGTCCTGGATGGAGCCCCTCATGTCTGGGGGCGGGGGTGTCCTTGCTCAGTGGGGAGCCTGCTTCTCTCTCTCCCCCTGCTCAGCTCTCTAGAAAAGGAAAAAGAAAAGAAGGGGAAAGGGAAAAGAGAAAGAAGAGAAGGTCGCTAGGGTACCTGGAAACAGCCAAGCAAAGCTGGAGGGGACAATATGAAAACAAGCTAGCTCATCCCCCCACCTTTTTTAAGATTTTATTTATTTATTCATGAGAGATACAGAGAGACAGAGACAGAGACACAGGCAGAGGGAGAAGCAGGCTCCCTTGGGGAGCCGGATGCGGGACTCGATCCCGGGCCCCCAGGATCACGCCCTGAGCTGAAGGCAGGCGCTAAACCACTGAGCCCCCCAGGCACCGCACGCGGTGTCATTCCTGGTGGCGATAATGGGGTGTCCTAAATCAATTTCACTGAAATGTCCCGGCACAGCATTTGTCCCCTACAGCGTGGGGCACAGGACGATGCATCTTGGGTGCCTCCAGCAACAAGTGTAAAACAAGTAGAAGCTAGTGTGACCTGTGAATATTCTAAGCCCTAGTCCTTTTTGTCTTGCCCTGGTATTTATACCTCCCTTCTGGATACTATTTTCTGTTTTACTGAGGGATGCTTTTTATACAGGAAAAGTGCACATTTTTAATATACGCGACTTGCTGAGTTTATTAGTATTTGTCCTAAATGATGGTAGACTTACGGTCTCTTAGTTGCCAAAAATAATAACAATGGCCTGGTCTTCACTTTTTCTAAAACTATTTCTAAATACACATCCAGTGTATTTAGGGGGGAAAAAAGTATTCTAATGTTTTATTTTTTTTTATTAAAACAAATCATCAGGTGTCATATAGAAATGGGACAAACTAAAACATTAAAAACCTCCTTTTAAGCCCATTTATTTTTCTTCCTTTCCACAAGATCAATTTACAACACTGATTCACTTGCTCGTTCTTGTGCAAAGTATCACACAACACTTAAAACTTCTAGGTTTGGGGATCCCTGGGTGGCTCAGTGGTTTAGCACCTGCCTTTGGCCCAGGGTGCGATCCTGGGGTCCTGGGATCAAGTCCCGCTTCAGGCTCCCTGCAGGGAGCCTGCTTCTCCCTCTCCCGGTGTCTCTGCCTGTCTCTTTCATGAATACATAAATAAAATCTAAAAAAACCCAGTCTACTAGGTTTGTAATGAGATGGGACCTTGCGTGTTTTAATCTCCACGGGGGAGGGAACAAGAACCCGTGGCAAGCAGAACAGGTCTCCTTCGATGCAAAATGCATTTGAAACCAGAGAAGCGTCACTGCTGGAGTAATGAAAACTAATCTTGGGATCGTGTGTCCGGCTCCCCGCTTTCGGGGGAGTCCCCTTGGGGAGGGATGCTTTCTCACGAGGCTTTATATGTCATGCTCCTCCCCAAAGCCTGTCTAAGCGAGTCGCCCGGTCCTCTGCTGAACAGTCAGTTCACAGTCAATGGCCTGAGAGGCAGGAGCCCATGGGTCCCGGAGACGCACCGAGGGCTGGCAGGTGCAGCCAGAGGCTGAGGCACAGAAGCCAGGCCAGTGGGAGGCCCGCGATACTCCGGCCTTGCTGCGGGCTCTCTGTCCAGGGCACTAAGGCCTGGGCCTTCTTCCCCCGCACCCTCACTCCCCACGGGCCTTGGAACAACAGTGGGTAGCAGCTGAGGGTTACCTCTGCCATCTTCCAGGACAACCAGCCCCGAGGAGTCTTAGCTCAACTGTATTCTAATCCACGGCCATGAAGTCCTCTTGCCGCCACTTGCAAATGTATTTGCCCAAGATAAAACTTATCTAAGCCTTACCAGAAGGCGTTACCTCCTGTATGGTCAACGGGCAACGGCTATACTCAACACCAAAAATCCTCTGGAGGGGTCACACAACTTTTACAATAAATCTTCCCAGTGTTAACTGATGTAGAGAGAAAGATACTTCGAGAAACAGCTTTAATCTGAGCGCTGCAGAAATACTCCCACGTTACTGTCCTGCGTGCCTTGACCATTAAACTTCTGCAGATGCTGTTCATAGATTTTTTAAGATTTTATTTATTCATGAGAGACAGAGACAAAGAGACAGAGAGAGAGAAAGAGAGAGGCACAGAGATACAGGCAGAGGGAGAAGCAGGCTCCACCCAAGGAGCCGGACGCGGGACTCGATCCCGAGACCCCAGGATCACGCCCTGGGCCAAAGGCGGCGCTAAACCACTTAGCCACCCGGGCTGCCCCGTTCAGGCCCCGTTCAGAAATTTTTAAAACATACAGAAGGGAACACCGACAACTGAGGTTTGTCTTTTGACATGTGTCAGCGTTAAGAATACTATGGGCGCTTACCAAGGTCATCTTCAACTTGTCTGTGACTGCTAGGTTGTATTTGTGAACTTTCTCTTGGATTTCCTCTTTGCTGAGGTAATTGTGCGTCTCCTTCTCTTTCTCCACATCCTAGAAGAAAAACAGGCCATGCTGCACATGAACAGGCACAGAAAGAGATGCAGATAAGCCGGGATTCTTTTCACATCCCACACAAGGGCTCGGAGCACTTGACCTTGAAATCCACAGACACTAACGCACACGCCCCCCCCCCTCAACTCTCAGGGTCACGCACCAAATACGGCTTTCATTCCTCAGGCCAAGTCTCCCCGAGGGCCGTAGAGCCAATAAAACTAATCTGTCAGCAGCTAAAAGCAACACTTCCCTCAACGTGGTCCTTTGGTCAGACCGTCTTTGCTGAATTTCCCTTCTGCACAAGCACCATTCGCTGCGAGCACCTGCAAGACTGGCTATTTTCATTTGAAACGACATTTAAGGACACCTACCAAAAGCTTCTCTAGCACATTCTACCAACTTTATGGTCATCACAGCTTCATCCCATTTACAAAGCAAAACAAAGCACAAGTCCCATTACAAAGCAAAAGGGGACCTACCGTCCCCCAGTATGGGACTTAATGACGTGACACGAAGCAAGGACCTGGTTAAGGACACCCACCAGAGGGTCACTTCCCTTCCAAACAAATCCTTGTATCCAGATTTCCCCTAACCGCCCACTCTCACCAGCCCCAACCTCTCTCTACACTGCGGGCGGGACGGTATTGGTTGAACCCTCTTACCACTGAAGGATTCCCCAGTGGTGTACGGTCTCAAGAGCTCAACTGGTGTGGGACGTTGTGCAATGGCTAATATGCAGTCACAGGGCCCAAGCTTGTGTGCTGCGACCCCCCCGGAGCCAGCTGGACAAGACACCCGGCGTGTACTGCATTTAAGTCTCCCACCAACCTAACCAAGACAACATCGTTCCAGTTTCCAAAGGAGATCAAGTCCTAAGTGAATTCACCTGCTAAGAGAAACTTAGCTGTTCTCTGGCAGTGATGGAATTTACCTGAAGCCTGGTCCCGAAGCCCACCAACCCTCGGTCACTCTCGTTCCTGAGGCTACATGGCTTGCTGAGGGCCAACCCCACTAGTTAACACACCAAATGCAATTTTAATCTGGGTCCTCTAGGCTGTTTCCACGAACACGAATAGGTCCCCACTGTTCCCCTGTGCGTGTCTGAAAACCTGCAGAAAGGCTATGTGATCATACTCAACCCTGAGTAGCACCCAAAGGACGAAGCGTCCTAACAACCTTCAAGGCAAGAAGAGGAAGAGTAACTAATATGGACTGATGTATCGCCCACAATAAAACCCCCGCATCGGTGTCTTTTTTTGGATCATCCTCGCAGGCGGAAGCTACCCACGCCAGTCTGTGCCCACCGTCCCCAGGAGCTGGTGCCACAGGCTCCACGGAGTGGCTACCAAGGAACCTGTAGGAACACGTTACAAAAGAACCTAAAATGACTCCAGGGGCGCCAGGGGGGCTCCGTGGGTTAGCTGTCCGCTCTGGATCTCAGCTCAGGTCATGATCTCACGTCATGGGACGGAGCTCTTCGTCCCTCTCGCTCTGCCCATGCCCCCTGCTTGCACGTGCACATGCTCACTCTCAAATACATACAATCTTTAAAAGGAAAAAAGAAAAAAAAAAAGGATCCCTGGGTGGCTCAGGGGTTGAGTGCCTGCCTTGGGCCCATGGCGTGATCCTGGGGTCCCAGGATCGAGTCCCACATTGGACTCCCTGCATGAAGCCTGCTTCTCCCTCTGCCTGTGTCTCTGCCTCTCTCTGTCTCATAAATAAATAAAATCTTTAAAAAATAAAAGAGAAAAAAGAACATAAAATGGCTCTTGACCATTCAGGTCGTGAGTTTCTTGAATTCACACCCTGAACTAGCTGAGGTGTGCGGACCATAGAGTATGTCGGTAACTCTCAAGTTCAGTGGCATCCAAGTCCAGGTGTCCCAGGGTCAGTGGTGACAATGCTGGGGAAATAGCACGAGACACCTGCACGTTCCCTAGCATGAGGAATGAGCCCCAAATCCCTTGGGGACCATTCTGTCTGCCAACATAAAACCCCAAAGCAATCCAATTTTTGGTGTCAAGAGTTATTAGGAAAGGAAAAAAAAGAGCTATAGATTGAATTTTTCAGAAGCTTCAATTTTTTTTTTAAGATTTTATTTATTTATTCCTGAGAGAGACAGGGAGAGAAGCAGAGACACAGAGGGAAAAGCGGGCTCCCTGCAGGGAGCCCAATGCGGGACTCAATCCGGGACCCCGGGGTCACGTCCTGGGCCGAAGGCAGGAACTCAACCACTGAACCACTTAGGTGTCCCTTCAATGACTATTTCTAAAGAAATTCAAAAATATTGCACCTTTCTGCTTGTCTGGCTCTTTCCAATCCACAATTAGCAGGCTACGAGCCATAGCTGAAAAAAATGAGGTTTTGTTCCGACATTTATTTTTCAGTCCAGACAGTCCAAAGACTCTTCAAAGCCAATACTAAAAAGTAGACCGTGAGGGATGCCTGGGTGGCTCAGCGGTTAAGCCTCTGCCTTCAGCTCAGAGCATGATCCCAGAGCCCTGGGATCAAGTCCCACATCAGGATCTCTGCATGGAGCCTGCTTCTCCCTCTGCCTATGTCTCTGTCTTTCTCTCTGTGTGTTTCTCATGAATAAATAAAATCTTAAAAAAAAAAAAAGTAGACAGTGAGATGGGGCACGAGGATGTTATGAAAAGTATGCTCAATACCAGCAAGGCCAGGGCTCCGATCCCGAGTCTGTCGCCAACTAATCCCATGCCCTCAGCTCAGTGACCTGAGTCCACTCCCTCATTTCCGTTCAAATAAAGGTACCAGAGTGAATCATCTCGAAAGTGCTTCCTGGCCTAACAGGAGAATTTTGCAGAGATCTGAGGCCGCTCTCACTCGTGTGTGACCTGTAGAGCAGGATGGTGCCATTTAAGGAATCAAGGCAACCAAAGGCCCATCATTAAAGATGTATAAAAAAATTTTTTTTAATGTACGAAAATAGGGACGCCTGGGTGGCTTGGCGGTTTAGCATCTGCCCTCCCTCCGCCCAGGGCATGATCCTGGGGTCCTGGATCGAGTCCCACATCGGGCTCCCTGCAGGGAGCCTGCTTCTCCCTCCTCCTGTGTCTCTGCTTCTCTCTGTGCCTCTCTCATAAATAAATAAATAAATAAAATCTTTTTTAAAAAGTATGAAAATAAGGGCACCTGGGTGGCTCAGTTAAACATCCGACTCCTGGTATCTGCTCAGGTCATGATCTCAGGGTCATGGGATCGAGCATGGAGCCTGCTTGTGATTCTCTCTCACCCTTCTCCCTTCACTCCACCTCCCCCCACAAAAAAAAGTTTTAAACAAATAAATAAAAATGAACAAAATAGCTAACTGCACAAATACTGGAGCATATGTCCAGTCTCGAGGCTTCCTGCCTAAATAAGAGATAATCCTAAAAATGAAAAGGAAGGGGGGAATCTCTGGGTGGCTCAGGGGTTTAGCACCTGCCTTCCGTGCAGGGCGTGATCCTGGAGACCCGGATCAAGTCCCACAGCAGGCTCCCTGCGTGGAGCCTGCTTCTCCTTCTGCCTGTGTCTCTGTCTCTCTGTGTCTCTCATGAATAAACAAACTCAAAAAAAAAAAAAAAAGAATGAAGAGGAGGGAGAAGAGTGGTTAAGAGTGAAGAGGCAGGGTCAAGACAATTCAGTAAATTGTTTCTTTGTTTTGTTTTTAAGACTTTTTTTTCTAAAGCAATTTCTACACCCAGTGTGGGCTCAAACTCACAACCCCAAGATCAAGGGCAGTGTGCTCTACTGGCCGAGGAGCCAGCCAGGTGTCCCTGGGGAGTTCTTAACTGCAGGTGCTGAGCTCAGCACCCAGGCCTCCCAGGAGCCTGAGGAAGACTGAAGGAGCGAGCTGGCTGGGAAAGAGAAACTCCCCCTGGATCACCCACGCACGCGAGAATGAGACAGGCTGGTGCCCCAACTCTCCTTCCCTCTCAGAGATCAAAAGGCCAGGAAAGAGGTGACCCAAGGACCTCCTAGAGCCTTTCAAGGCAGACCCCTCTCATTAAAGGGTCAGCTGGAAAGCAGATCCCAGAGAAGCAGTTGACACCTAAAAGGCTGCGACCCTGATTTTTTTTTTTTTTTATTACGGAGACAGAACTGACATAGGACACTGCACGTGTTGTAGGTGCCCTGCGAAAGGACCGGACGGGCGTACGCACTGCAGCGACTGCCACAAGTAACAAGCATCCTCGCCTCACGTGATTACAATTCTTTATCCCTGCCATGAGAATGTTCAAGATCCACTGTCTGCTGGGACACTGCACTGATGTCGCCCAGCACAGCCACAGAGCAAGGCCTGCTGCCCTGAGCAAATATTTGCTGAGCTTCTGCTGGGCGCCAGGCCCTCGCCCGAGCGTGGGGACGTCAGGCACGGCACGTCCACCTGCACGGTGCTTACCGTCCAGCACAGTGGAGTACGAGGGGAGGGAGGAAAGGTGGGGCGGAAGCTTCTGGAAGCAGGGGACAGGCACACGAGTCCCAAGCTCAGGCCCTGGAGTGGAGAACACTGGTTTCTTTCAGTGTCAGGACTGAAGGAAGTCTCCAGAGCTGGAGAACTTCCAAATCTTTACCCCTTTAAAAGAGACCGCACCCCCCCAACACCGGGAAGAAGCCTCCTGACCCTCCTCCTGCGGGCACAAAAGGCCTTGGGAAGCGGCATGCAGCAGCCCAGGAGGCCAGAGCTGGGCACAAGGGTGCAAAGGTGCAAAGAAGGAGGGGTCTTTAAAACCCCGCAAGGCGAGAGCAGAAGAGATAAAAGAGTACAGGCGCTGACCTTGACCTGGGAGGGCAGGAAACGCCCGGGGCAGCGTCCCTATTGTTGTCCCGGCCACGCCCAGGTGCTCTGGCAGCCACGGGTCCTTTTTTATTCATGAGAGACAGTTAGAGAGGCAGAGACACAGGCAGAGGGAGAAGCAGGCTCCCTGCAGGGAACCCAACGTGGGACTCGATCCCGGGTCTCCAGGATCACGCCCTGGGCCGAAGGCGGCGCCAAA